ATTATTAGGGGGAGGGGATTACTATTACCTCAGGCTCCTCACAGCAGTTGCACCCCAGCAAGTCGAACAGAGGCAAGCCGTTGATTAATCCTGCGTAGTTTCGGGCTTAGGGCTCTGGTTTGGGAACTCCATGCAGTTTGGGGTGCTGTGGGAGCCAGAGTCCACTTTGCCCAGGGTTCTTTGTTACGCGACGGAGTGGTCCAACCTTCCCTTTTCATCATGACATCAGGACTTAATTCTGTTCTTCGATTTACGGTTTAGAATGCAAGTCTCCCCGTAACTATGTACGGCACGCACCCTCATAGAGAATCATTATTGCTCAGACTGAACAACAGCCTCACACAATTTTGAGAACTCGAGGGTATATGCTGGGCACGTAGACTTCTCCAGGATTAAGGGCCCATGTGAGAGGCCCGGCTAAACCTTAAAACCCTAAAGCTAAAACCCTAAAGCCCGAACTCTGGACACGAAATCGTAAACCGTACTGTAAAGCCCGAGCCTTTGAATCCTAAATCCTAAACCCCTAAAGTCCCCCGTAAGTAGATAGAATATGGCAGTGGGTATATTATAATAAGATCCCCATATACCCCAGATTCTATCCACTTTGGGGGGACTATACCCTAAACCCTAAACCCTAGAGAGTAGCTTCCATTTTCTTTTCCACTGTCCCAACCTAAACCATATATTCTATCTACTTAAGGGGGACCCCTAAACCCCAAGCCCTAAACCCTACATTCTATCTACTTAAGGGGGACTAGCAGGCCCTAAAGCCCTGCTCCAAGGTTGGAGGTTGCTGGACCTTTGCTGCGCCTGGAAGGGCAGGAGGCCCGTGAAATCTTCTGACTGAAAGAGTCTTCAGGGTTTAGGGTTTAGGGTTTCCAAAATTGGGGGTACCCTTTTGGGGGTCCCAATAATAAGGACTATAGTATTTTGGGGTCTATTTTGGGGTTCCCTTATTTCGGGAAACTGCCTTATAGTCCTGGGTTTAGGGTTTTGGGCTTAGGGTAATAAGGTGGGGGAGGTTGTCTGAATTAGTTAGAATAGAGGGTTTTGTGGGTACATTCTGCTCTACTTGCATGAAAGGATCGGAACGGATAGCATTAAGGCTTCTGATTACATTGGCGATAAGAAGCGGTATAGGCACCACAAATAAGGTCACAATTGGATATGCCTGCAGTTATCGTACTTGTAGCCCCAGTTCTTATCACCTATAAAATTCCAAGTAGATGGTGACGCAGACCCCCTAAAGGATCCAAACAAATGGAACCCCCCCAATATGAACCCATTACTACATTGGGGAAACTTGGGGATTATTAGGGGGCTCCATTTTTTGGATCCTTTAGGGGGTCTGGGAAGCAGGGAAGAAAGGAATGCTTCCTTACAGTAGTCCCTGGGAAATTCCCGGCGATGGTCATTTTGAAGCCCCAAGCTGTTGCCGCTGTGGTAAAGGCCTGGGCCAGCCTCCTGCGACAGCTTGCGATTCTTTCCAGCAAGTGGAAGTCGAACTTGGCGTCATGTTTGTAACAGGACAATTGAGGATATCTCGGGATAGATAGGGAGATACAGGAACATATAGGGACATGTCGGGATATTATGTAGGGAGATATACGAACATGTAGGATAGGGTTTAGTGCTTGTTGCAAGGTATTCAGTATATATACACATGGGTATATATACTTACAGATACAGTTGCTTATTTTGACATTTTTATATACACTGTCCTACTAGTACATGAGCTGCATATGATATGGGATGTATTTTACTTATACGAATGCCGATACTGCGCCGGGCGGAAAGTTCGTCGCACGGCCATGTTTGCATTTGAAGACGGGCCAACCCCCTCCCCTGTAGACTCCTCCACGAGCAGCTCAATTAAAGTATTATAAGTTCATTCCGCCGTGATAATTTCTCCGCTAGCCAGGCCAGTGAAATGAGGCTCTCAGTACTCCGCATCTTCCGCCATTTAGCAACATGTAGATGCGACAAAACTATCCGCCCGGTGATGATCTGGAAAATAGGCTTCGAACCAAAGACGCCGCGCCACTAGGAAGGTGCCTGTGTTGTGCTATGCATCTTGGCCTAGGAAATCTGCAGGGAGCTTGCAGCCATGGCTGGTCTGAGCGTCGCGCAAAGAGCCAAACGAGCTCTTTTGACGTCACTGTTGGCGCTGCCACGCGCGTAACGTGGACATGGACAAGACGCGGGAGTCTGTGCAGGCCGACGTGCAGAGGGCGTTCCGCAAGGTTGCTCGGAAGGTGCATCCGGACAAGAGCGGCAGCGCTGAGGACACGCAGGGGCTCAACGCAGCAAGAGATGCGTGGCAAGCTGCGGCGGGCGGTCCTTCACGTGGGCTACCACGGCCTGCAGCTGCGCCAGCGGTTGCAGTTGCAGACCCCGACGGTGTTCGTATGCGGTCGGAGGCTGTGTTGCTGACCTACCAGAACTGGGCTCCAGAAGAGAGTGCTGCAGTCTGGGACCACTTGTGCAACTTCGTCAGTGCTTCACTAGCCGTTTGGATGGTCAAGCACTGGACCGCGACGCTGGAAACCAACTCTTCAGGCTCACACCACGTGCACGTCATGCTCCTATTCCAGAAGCCTATGAACTGTCTGGCGACCCGAATGCCAGCTCTCAAAACTCTCACGACCTTTTTGGGCGAGGGCGTCTGCAAAAAAGGCTGCAGCAACCCATCGACAGGGGCGTGTTCTATGTGTGGGCTAACAAGGTCGGTTCCGTGCAGGTAGCTGCCAGCTACGAGCCTTGCTGGACAGGTGCGGCGCGCACGTACCAGGTGGTCGTAGTGTAACCAGGAAGAAAGACGCTGGAGGAGTGTTGTTCTTAGTGCTAGTAAATTTAACATGAGGTTTGCAAGGGCTGGGGCGGGATTCGGAGTTTGACGTTTCATAGTAGTCCCATTTCTTTCATTAGTCATGGCACAGACAGTAGGAGTAGGCGTTTGAATGGGGATCAAGTTTGATCGGGCTAGGCCTGGGGTGGGATTCGGAGTTTCATTCATAAGTTAAGGGTCCCATCTTGAAATTTCTTCGTCACTGACGAGGCAACTAATTTGAGAATAAAAAGCATGTAGCTCAAGGCAGCCTGTAATACCACAGACACTCAGAGTAGGGGTTTCAATTGTCGATGGCTTCAGATCGGGCTAGGGCTGGGGTGGGCTTTGGAATTGGAATTTAATGTTTAATTTAGAAATACGGTGCCATATCTTGTGTCACAGAGGATAATTAGAAAAGGCAGTATGTCAAGAATACATCTGGAGTAGCACTCTCAATGGGGATTATCTCTTGTTCGTAACATTTCAAATACGGGGATAGAGAGAGCGAGACAGAGATTTAGAGTGAGCCAGGCACCGGAGCGAGTCAGACCTTCTACCTGTGTGAGCCCCAAGGAGCTGTTGCATGTGCAGGCAATTGCGGGCATGTACCATGGATACTGGAACTGGAGCGTCGGCAGCCACGGACGGGACGAGGGAACTCGCAGAGCCATTCTTGAGCCTGGAGCGCAACTATGAGCGGAAGACAAGTGCGGGGGACAAGAGCGCTGCTACAAAACCATCCGCCGGGAGATGATAGATACGTATATATGTATACATGGTTACTGCATCCTGTAGAGTGGCAAAGTCTTGGAGTACCATAGATCCCGAATCTTTACAATCTAAAACCTAAACCCTCAACGCCAAAACCTAAATCCTGTAAACCCCCAAAGCCTTATGAATCCCCAAACTATCACCCGATGTCATCCCAGGCTCCAATCGCTTCCAAAGCTTCCGCCGGGCGAGGACTGGAGTTTAGATTCATGCTGTGGCGCAAGATGTGAGGATTACGGGGGTGTATAGGTTTAGGGTTTGAGGTTTAGGGTTTGGGGTTTAGTTAGTGCTTCAATTTGATGGTGGGTTTTCGGGTCTTTGGACAAAGGTTTCTTGGGAGACAGGGACAGGTTTCGGGTGCGCCCAAGCAGTAGGTATCCTTCTTCAATCGGTTGCCCCGCACACCCCTCTGAACCTTAAACCCTGGTTATCACTGCATGAATTAATTAGCCGTCACAAACATGATAAACGCCTTAATTTCACCGAGCTAAGCGGGGGGGCGGGCTAGGTTAGGGAGCATAGGATGGGGACCCATGATTTTTGACTCCCTGCAAGAAGACGTCTCTGCCATGCACTGACCCATTGGTTACATTGAAATTGACATGGAAACTAGTTGCTATAGTGCTCAGGACGAGGATTTAGAGGACGCGGAAAAATCAAGCCGAAAAACGCAATGGAATCTTAAATGGAAACTGGGAATTGTACGCGTTATATAGTGTTTTCAAACAGTTTGCTGACCCCAACAAAGAGCAACCTCATTTGAGCTACTTTTAATATTGCTCCTTATGAAGAGACGCTTAACAGTGAACATAGGGTCCCTCTTACACAGTAGTAAAGTCCCTAATATAATCTGTAATAAAGAATTCCTGTCCATGAATTATTTGAGAAATGTGACTGCAGTTCATATCGTCTTTTAAGGCTTAACATTTTGTAAGAAATCATAATTTTACTCCGTTCAGGAACCCGCCAAAAAAGTCGAAAACCCCAATTACCCCTAAACCTTAAACCATTAACCATAAAAAGCCTATATTTTCTTCTCCATTCCAAAGTCTACATCCCCCTATATGTATATATAACTCCGGATAAAACCTATACCATCCTATCTACCCTACAGAACCCTGTATATATATACCCGTAGCCGTGTACAACCCATGTAACCCCTGTAGGGTCATCACCTGTAGCCCTTCCTTCCCGTTGCTGACATCAGGTGTATGCTTAAGTTTACAGCTAGGTACGTTCTCACCGAATTGTTCCTGAGTCTTACGATTCTTGCGTGAGATTGCATTCGGCTTAGTACTGACAGGAGACATGTTGCAAAATCATTCCAACCCCAGAGGGTCCACATATACAGCTCTTCGGGAATCGGGACCCATAATTCCTTTTATAGTACGGTATTTGTGGGCCTAATATGGTCCCTCTGGGAAAACAATACTGAGTGCAACATTCCGCTGAGATTTAAGCGTGACGTGTTGCATATCCAAGAGTATCGAGTTCCAAGATCATTCCTTGTAGCCTTGGGTTTTGGGGCCCGAATACCCCAATTAAGGCCTACACTCCACCGTTTGGTACAATTCCTAGGGCTACAAAGTACAACCTGGACTGGTGCAGATCATCACTTCTGGGATGATGAGCAGTAGTGAAAGGAACGTATATATTGTGCGGCATTTAGTGTTCGTCAAAGTTTACTGCACATGGCCGGTGACGAAGGGCATTCGGCACACCGATTTACAGCGCTTCTACACTTGACATTCTCCATCAGATTCCTGCCTCGTAAATTCTATGCCTATATGCCCCCATTCCGTGCAAACCTCGACCCTAAATCCTAAACCCTGAGTCCTGAACCCTAAATCCTAAGCCCTAAGCCCTTACCCCCCCCCCCCAGCCCTCGTATCCATTCCTGCAATCCTAATTTTGAGCACGCTTAAGTTGAGGACACGGCTGCACGCTTCCTCTCGATTCTGGAGCAGCTCTGATTCATATGCCAGGCTGCGGTGGACTTCAGGGTGCTTAGGATGTAGTAGTAGGGCTTAGGGTTCAGGGTTTAGAGATGGGGTTTCAATATAGCATATATATATAATGACAATAAATAAATATAAATATATATATATATATTCATATACATAGTACGAACGATCAGAAGGATTAAAGGCATTCACTGCCCCGCTGCCCCCGCACTTTGTTCTCAGGGTATTGCACAGGGTATAAAAGATAGAGAATCCCGAAGAGGGACTCTCCACAGCATCTATTCCCTCGGGGTGCCTCATTTCGAGATACCCCCATGCATGTGGAACATCCCCTAAACCCGGAACCCCCAAACCCTAGAGCCCCAAGATGGACTGGAACCAAGGTGGGTGCACTCTAGTGAAGGGCATCAAGTCTGCCCTCCGTTCTTCGACTTTGCCTTCGAGGACAGGGAGCATGCTGACAAAGGGATGAACCTGCTGAGGAAACTCAGCGTTGATATTAAAGCCTCGGCATTGATTCTAAGTACCTATGCCTTCGAGTTACAGTCTTCTAACATACTTATAGCACCCTGCAGGATGTTGAGAATCAACAGTCAGGATTTCTCAAACTTCAAGACCCTACGGACTGGCAAGTGGCAAGTCAGGTAACCTCCCAAAGTACCTCAGTCAGAACCAAACCGACCCCAAGCCCAAAACCCAAGCTCCAGGCCCCAATCAAAGCTCTCTACATATGAGTTGTTTTAAAGTCATAAACATTATGAAGTTGGTTATGACCTGTTGTACATACATTACCATCCGTCATTATTAGTGACTACTATTTTTGATTTGAGGATGTTGGACGTTCAGGGCAGGCTTTCCAGCCATCATACGGAAAAAAGGGCCACATACGAACTAGAATTTCATTGGTAATACC